TAATAATAATAATAATAATAATAATAAGGAGGAGGAGGAGGAGGAGGAGGAGGAGGAGGAGGAGGAGATGAGGATGTTGTTACGGGGCTCTCACTTAACAGCCAGCTCTCCCTGTCAACATGGCGTTGGGGTGATTTTTATCTTCACCCACCCCAGTCCAAGCTCGGTGTTGATATCTCTCTCCGCAGACTTGCTTGGAGAATTATCAGCTCCTTTTGGAGCTATTTCCACTATTTTGACCTACACAAACACAGGATCTTCCTGGCCAGCCTGATCTCATTGTAGAGCCCATTGAAAAGGAAAATGGAGGGAAGTTATTAACCAAACTTTCCAGGCCAGGGAAAACAATGAAGGAACTAAGTTTAGCCGTGAAAGCAGCTTGGCCCCAGCCAGTCACAAAAGATGTCAGAATGGCCTCTCTGCCGAGTGGGAAATGCGCCAGCGAGGGAACAATGCGGCTACTCTGGAAACAAAACCCTTGGGAACGCTGACAGAAATGCAACTGAGATAGATGCAAAAGATTTGGGCCGGATCTCTGGCCTAGAACTGACACTCGGGAGGTGCTGTCACCAAGGGGCACAGTGAAAGTCGCCCTGGCAGAGCATCCAGCAGCCCTCTTCCAACAAAGGAAGTTTCTGCCCCCTGTTCCATTCTTTGGAAAGTGAGAGATTTCCTCCAAGCCTTATATCATTTCCCCCTTCCTTGCTTTCTTTCGAAAAGCGAAGGTGCTCCAACCGTTGTAACTTTTCCACCAAGCATGGCTCCAGACTCCGGGTCAGTCGGATGACCCTCTTCTGCATGGGCAAGAGCTCGTGAAGCTTTGGTAGGACAGCAAAGGAGTCTGGAACTGTCATCTGCATGTAGGAGGTCCAGACGGCCAAAGTTCCCCCAGAGTGGGCTCAGTGAACGCATAAAATTGCATAAAATTCCTCCACAGTTTCATTCCAATCTACTTCCCAAAGCCACACCCCTCAATTTTCTGATCAGAGCTAGGGAGAAGAAGCTGGCCAGATTAAGGGCCCAAGAACACTTGTTTAATGCTTTGAGCCTCATGTGAATTCAACTGTAACAATCCATGGGTTGTGACTTTGTTAGTTAAATCGTGGCTTAGCACAGTGAGCAAACTCATTCTCGGCCTGCATCAGAGCTGGTTGGCTAGAATCTGAGACATTTGAAGCCTAAGAACCAGCCGTGTGTGCCTCCTCTCCCCGGTGATAGACCAATCTATGGTACATAAGAGTCTCTGGAACTTTAGGGAGCAACTTGCTGCAATGTGGAGCTCTCCAAGGTCCTGAATATTGGCTTCATGAACTTCATCTGATAGACTACCTTGTCCCCAGGGTGATCCTACTCAAACTCTGAGCAGAAGAGTGAGCTTCTCTTCACACAACCACTTTTGATCAAGACTTGGTGGCTGCCTTCATGCAACTTGGTTAGTTTGGCTATCTTTTGGGGGGAGGCTTAAAGTCTTGTGTGGATCTAAGGGCATTTGATCAGCTTGTGGTTCAACAGATTGCACAACATCAGAAAACTGGCTAATTCAGTAACTAGATTGTGGACATGGAAAGCTGCTGGAACACCACTGGTTTTTTGCTCTTACCTGGGGATGGAAAAGCAGTGGTGAAGGCCTCAGATATTTCTCCTTTAGTGCTCCAACTGAGTCAGCCACCTTCCGCTTCTCCACCCTGCTGGACAACAACACAGAGGGTTACATACCTCACAGAAGAAAACACAGAATCTCCCCTTGAGGAACACTGTATAGTTTTTAAAAAGGAGTCTTTTTGCATCAGTTTGTCAGGTCAGTAAGATTACATTTGGATAAGGAGAGCAACGCGCCAAAAAAACCAGGCTTCTCTGGTCTAGTATTTCCCTTGAGGAAACACAAGCTATCATTCAAGGCCAGAAAGACATTAGCTACACTGGCAGGGATGATCTCAGTTGGGTGGGTTTTTTTGCAAAATGCCACTGCATGTTCCTGTTTAAGCATAGTATCCCAGGTAATTATTTGAGGAACAGCCCTCTCACATATCGAGAGGGCCATCCTGCATGAAGATCAGACATTCTTGGGTCAACTAGGTCATATTCCAGAAAGTGAGGTCTTCTTTTCTCTGGATTCCCCAGCCATGATGAGAATTTGGAAGACCATAAGGAGAATGGTGATATCTGGCCTAGCTTCATCTTCCATGGACAGTAAGAAGCTGCTGTTTCTTCAGAAGCTGTGTTCTTTCAATAAATAAGAAAGGTTAAGGGCAACTGGGTAGATGTGTTGCGGGGGGGGAGTTACAATTATTCCTTATAAGCATGCATACTTAGGCAGGCTCAGTCAACATTCTGCCCAGGAGCTAAACTCTGATACGGTTAGAGAGACAAATCTCAAAAAAGCTAATATGGAAGGATTCATGAAAGATGCTGGCATGGACCACTGCAGCCCTCAGCTACAATTGGAGAAAATGTGGAAAATGTTAGTACTGATCATGCTAATAATTGTAAGTTTAAGAATATGAGTGGCCTGAATCTCTTTGAAAATGTTTTGGTGCAGCAACAGTTCCTTTGACTGAAAATGTGGGTGAGGAGTACCAACAGCCATGAAGCCCTTCAGAAACAAGAAGAAGACATCCAAAGGTTTGGCGAAATAGGTAGTGCACAGAAAAAATAAATAATTCATTGAAAAAGAAGCCATGAGGGCACCTACCCCTGTCACCAAGAAAAACTCAGCTAATGAGGATGCAGCGTTCTTGCTAGCCAGAGAAGGGATGTGACCAAAGAAGACAAGAACAAAAAGGTGTACTTTAGGACCAGTTTGGAAGGAAAAGCCAAGTGAGATGATAATACATGGTCCTCACCCTACTTGGTGGTTCTACATTTGCTAATTTGAGTCGAAGATTGAAGCCCCTTTGGGTCTGCAATGACTCACAGAGCCTCTCTCTCCTTTGCTCTCTTCCCCTCTGTCTCCAAGCCCTGCGCATTTTCCCAGCACCATCTTATTTTAACTGGAAAAGCCATCTCCAACCTTTGTTACTCCTGCCTGGTTTCCAGGTGAGACATCGAGGAGCTGCAACCTCTTCCATCTCCCACAAAAGAGTCTGCATTGCCAGAGTGTTGGGTCACATCTCCAGCAGAACAGTGGGGAACCCCACAGGGTTTGTATTCCTATCAGCCCTGGCCTGTGTGGGCAATTGCCGGGGATGATGGGAATTGCTTTCAAACAGCTGCCCCTCCTGCGTTCCTGCTTTACCTGGAATTCCTGGAAGAACATGGCTAATAGAGCAAATGGAGCGATGGAGTCAGACCTTACAGACTATATGGAATTGAAATTTGAGGTCTTGCCAGCTGTGCATTCTGATGCATAACACCCCTTGGGAGGGCTTTCCCTTAACGGTGGCTTCTGGATTTTTTTTTTTTTTTTTACATAAATTGTAAACATTGAGACCTCACAAGAGATTCTGAGAAAATGGGTGTCTGCCATCCATCCATCCATCCATCCATCCATCCATTTATTTCTCCATCTCTCCATCCTCCATTCATTTCTCCATCCATCCATCTATCCTCCCTTCATCCCTTCATCCCTCCATCCATCCCTGTTTTCCTCCAGAGGGCAAAGAAAGTTTAACCCAAGATTAACCCAAGCAAACTGTTCCTTGACCTTATGGTTGTATCCATTCCCCACATCACATTGATTTCTCTTGCCTGCAGACCACAGATGCTGCTTTCTTGAAGCTTCTCCAACAAAATAGAGAATTGTACATGGTCAAGAGCTCCAAAATACAAGGGGATTGCTACCCTTGCTGAACAAGGGTGGGGGCCTGACACCAAGAGTGGCCTCTCTTCTGTTCCCCAGCACACTGCCTCTGAGAGATAGATGATATAGATATATTCACCCTAATCAGGAGGGAGTGATGAGAGAGAAAATTATTGGATTCACATTGTGATTCCTATCACATCAGAGCTGCATTGGGACAACTTACTCTGTTTGCTGAATGGACCCCCTTTCTGGGGTTTGTACAATACCCTTGAATGATGAATTAATCAAGTGGCTTGGGGTATGCAAACAGGGAGTTAACAGTAGCCAATCTCAGCAGATTGTATGAAGGCAACTCCTCAGTCTTTACTGTACATTGTCCTAGTTGAGCATATTCTGGGACCCCAACGAACATTGGTTAATCTGCTCCTCAAAACCAGGATGTCAGGAAGATTCGATTTGTGAATGGCTGCTACCTGTAGGGAATTATCACTACCTGTGCTTCTACATTTGATAGCCCCCCAATCTCTTCTCTTATGTCCGGCCTTCCCATTCTATGTGTCTGGGTGTGTCTACTTCTGGGTGAGGACTACAGCGAACTAAGACATCTCCGAGGGAGCGGAGATGGCATTGCACTGGCCAGGTGACATGTCCAGGGCTCCAAAGAAGGAGAGACTGAGAGATCGCCCACCTGCACCCCAGATGGCTGTTCCTTGTGAGGAGACCACAGGATTTGAAGGTCCTTGCAGTCAACTCATGAGCTGAGCAGCCAGGAGATGAGAAAGACATCAGAGCAGAGCCTTTAAGGACACCGGGTTCGACCAAAATCTTACTTTCTTAAACATATTTGGATATAATAATTTTAAAATTAAAGAGAGATCTTTGGACCAGCAGGTGGAAAAAACAAAACACTTGGAGTGCTGTAAAGAAACTAGTGACACACCTCCCACCAAAATAGATGTGCTTCTACAACACACCATCAAGGCTGAGAATGTTAATACCTGTATATGGGGTCCATGAAGAAAGGAGAGGGCTTAGCGTAATGCAAGGAAGGCTGTGGAAGCATCTGAGCTTGAGACATCTTGGGGACCCCGTCGCTGGCCACCAGCTTCCTCTCACCATAGATGTGGTTCTTCCGGGGATCCCGACTCCCGTTATGACTGGCCCGGATGCGGCTGCTGATGCTGAGATCCAGAGGCTGTTCCTCGCCAGCGGGACGAGGGGGCAGGGCTTGTGCTGGTTTGACTTCTTTTGGCTTGGTGGTAAGGTCGAAGGGAGACTCCGAGCAGGCGCCACCAATTTTGTGCAGGTCCCTGGGTGACTTTGGTTCAGCTTTGACCAGCAAACTGTGGTTGAGGGTCCGGTCCGTGAAAGGGTAGACTGAGTGGGAGAAGTTGGGAAGGAACTGGAATGGAAACATGGAATGATATGGGAGAGTCCCCATTTTTTTCTCTTGCATGCCCATGAAACCGGGCCCAAAGTATTTTTCTGCAATGGAAGCGATGGCCTTTATGGAGTCGTTAGCGGCCCCCACCATCGGCAGCAGCTGATCCTCGGGAGGAGGGAAGAAAGAATGCTGGGAGTAGAAGACGGGGAGGTCGCCCATGTTGTTGGCAGAACTCGTGGGCACTGAGCTGCTGCCGAAATCCGGCTTGTTCTCCCCCGGTTTGTTTTTCTCCTTCACTTTGTCCCGGTCACTCTCAGCGTCGCTCTCCAAGTCCGACCCCGTCCCGGTGGTGGTCTCCAAATCGGTGCCCGTAGTTGTGTTGACATCCTCAAAGTCACTTGCGTCCGACAGGTCGCTAGTCCTGGCTTTGAGCTTTTCCAAGTAGGAGTTCCCCAGATTGGTGCTGTTAAATCTCTCCTCCCCAGGCGCCGAGTGGCTGCTGTTGCTAACGGCGGACATCAGAGGGAGTGGAGAGTGACCCAGAGGGCTGGGGAGTTTGGCCTCTTGCGTGTGGTTGACGGGGGTCTTGAGCAGGGGCGTGGGAGGTAAGAGAGGGGGTCTGGGGTACAACGAAGGAGGGAAAATACCTGGGAATCCAGGAGCAAGAGCTGGGAACGCTGGGGGAGCAGGTGAGAACGGAAGTCCTCCTGGGTGTGGCCGGGAGGGGAAGTAATCACTAAAGCCGAGTCCGGCATGATTGAGGTTCGGTGATGTTTTGGACTTGTCCATCACGGAACTGGGCGTGAGAGGCAAACCTGGTGCGAAAAGGCCCCCGGGGTTGTAATGGTTCTTGCCCTCGCAGAAGCGCCGGTGTTTGTTGAGCGAGGAGGTGGTGCTGAACATCTGGCCACAGTCCTTGCACTTGATCTGGGTCCGGCAGTCGGCATGCATGCGCTTGTGTCTGCAGAGGTTGGAGAACTGCGTGTAGGATTTGTGGCAGACCTCGCCTAAAGCATCAACAGAAACCAAAAGACCGAAACCCAGTATGAAATTAATATGAAAGAACTGGTTGCACACAGGAAAGAAAGCTGGGATTCTCAGTATATGAATGGGGGAGAAAAAAGAGAGGAACTGGAATGGCTTTCAAACCGCCAAGCTGAGCAAAACAGCTGCCTTGGAGAAGTGGGGCCAGGGAGATGTGGACGACATGACAACACGAACAAAAGCACTTGGAATTTATTAGAAAGGAGTAGTGTGGAGCAGAAGCGTTTCTCCTGTGTTTTGTTCCTAATGGTGCTCATTGGATTTGACGAAAGAGAATTTGCTTTCCAAGTTTCTTTCAAAGAGATGAGCATTTCAGAGAAATTCTCCAGGGTGGAGCGTGGAGTTTTGCAGTTCTGTAATGCCAGGTTATCCAAGGGAAGTATGTGAATCTTTGTGAGTATCTTTCACTCTACAATCCTCTCTCCAGCCATCAGCAGCCTCCTTAGCTTCCCCACTTCCATTCAGTTGCAAGGGGCTTTTTCAGATCAGGAAGGAAGGGCAGCCAGGGAGGCTGGAGAGTGATAAGAAGATGTGGAACAAAGAGAAAAACACAACTATCCTCTCTCCAGCCATCTGCAGCCTCCCTGACTTCTCCTACATCCATTCAGTCCATGAGAATTTCTCCAATGGGATTTTTTTTCAGATCAGGAAGGGTAGCCAGGGAGGCTGGAAAGAGACAGGAAGATGTGGGACAAAACCAACAACCCTCTCTCCAGCCATCTGCAGCCTCCCTGGCTTCCCCCTTCCATTCAATCCATGAGAATTTCTCTGATGGGACTTTTTCAGAGCAGGAAGAGCAGCCAGAGAGGCTGGAGAGAGATGGGAAGATGTGGAACAGAAAAACACAACATCCTGTCTTCAGCCATCTGCAGCTTCCCTGGCTTCTCTCCCTTCCACTCAACCTAAGAGAATTTATTTTTCAGATCAGGAGAGAAGAGCAGCCAGGGAGGCTGGGGAGAGATGGGAAGATGTGGGACAGAATAACACAACAACATCCTCTCTTCAGCCATCTGCAGCTTCCCTGGGTTCCATCCTTTCCACTGAATATTAAGGGAATTTCTGGGGGAGAAGGGAGTGGCTGGGGCAACTTACATATGAAAGGCTTCACAGTGCTATGGATGTGTTTGTGCTGTTTGAGGCCAGAAGAAGTGGCAAAGGTCTTCCCGCAGTCTGGACAAGCATGCGCCCGTGCGCCGACGTGCTGAGAACGAATGTGCCTTTGGAGGTTGCTGGGGTCCGTGAAAACCTAAGGAGAGGGCAAAAACGTCTTGAGGATCCAAATTAAGACAAAATGCCATTTTCTTGTAGGGGAATCGTGTGTGTGTGTGTGTGTGTGTGTGTGTGTGCATAAACAGGTTCATATCTGATTTGATTTGATTGATTTGATTTGACAGCATCCAGGGTGGTTGACTGATTCCATTCACCGTTCCGATTTGCTTGGGGAGTTGCTTCGATTCGGAGGGTGAACTGAATCAGCTTCAAATTCAATCTTTTGATCAACGCTTTGCAGAGCTGTAGGATGACTGCAGGATCAGCAAAATGGGAGAGGTTGTCATTTTTTTCCCAGGCAAGCTTGGGCTTTTGAAGGAGTAAAGACAGGTCAAAAAGCTCAACAGATTCCAATTACACTTAAAGATTACTAAAATTAAATATAGTTCGTGTAGTTGTTCTCCTGCGATACAGTAAATACTTTGTTTTTCAGTCAGATTAAAGTGTACAGTTCATTTACAACTTGGGGCAGTTTCTGGGGGTCTACTGGTCTTTCAGCCATTGGCCCAATCCACCAGCAACCTTACCAAGGGCACGCCAACCCCGATGGCCATACCTTCACACAGTTTTCACACTCAAATCTCTTGCCACTGTCATGCGACATCTGGTGACGGATCAAGTTTGATTTCCAGTTGAAAGCCTTGGGACACTGGTCACATTTGTATTCCCTTTCTTCGGTGTGGATGATCATGTGCTGTTCCAAGCTGTTGGAGAAAAGCAAGGGAGGGAGAGGGTTGGCTGGCTGGGGACTTTAGAAACAGATCTCCCGACTGCGGGACACCAGGGGGGGTTGCCCAGCTGTCCTCAAGGAGGTCAGAGAAAGACCACCTTCAAGGGGGGAAGATGATCGCTCCTGAGCCTGCCTGGGTCTGAAGACTGATGAGAATGACCCTCCTCATTCGACTCAACGTAAGATCAGTTTGGTGAGTGCGCACAAGGGACATCTTGGTATCCTCCCTGTTTGGTCCGAAGGGCCCTACAAAGACCTCTTTTTATTTTCAATTCTTCCAGATCTAAAGATCTAGACCAGTGTTTTTCAACCTTGACAACTTTAAGATGTGTGGACTTCAACTCCCAGAATTCTCCAGCCAGCAGGTGAATTCTGGGAGCTGAAGTTTGCACATCTTAAAGCTGGCTGGGGAATTTTGGGAGTTGAAGTCCCCACATCTGAAAGTTGCCAAGTTTGAAAAACACTGATTTAGGCAATGGCATTGCTTTGGGGTCACCACCATCACCTGTACTTGTTCGGAAACATCCTCTCACAGTCTTTGCACTCATGGACTTGCTCATCCTCGGCTCCCTCCTGCTTGATCTCTTCGGTCAGGGACTCATACAGAGAGCCGACAGCATGGCAGGAATATTTCTTGTGCCTCCTCATCTCTGTCTTCGACTGGAAGAGCTCGTCACAGTCCTCGCAGCGGAATGTGTGAACCTCTGTGGAAAAAGCAGAAACCCCGTGATTATTGGCAGTGATGCTGGAGGACAGAAGTTCCCCGAGGCCTCGATTTACTAAAAATATTTGTTAAGAAAAACTATAGGAAACTACCAAACGTTGACAGAAACCAGCGCTCATTTACTTTGGTGGGTGCGATTCTCGGGCAGAGATCTTGCAGATCTAGTGTTAACCCAGGGTGTCTCAATCTTGGCAACTTTAAGACGTGTGGACTTTAGCTCCCAGAATTCCCCAGCCAGCCTGGCCGGGGAATTCTGGGAGTTGAAATCCACACATCTTAAAGCTGGCTGGGGAATTCTGGGAGTTGAAGTCCACCCGTCTTAAAGTTGCCAAGTTTGAGACACCCTGGGTTAACCCCTGCCTTTTTAATCCACGCGCAGAAGCCGAAAAAGAGCCGTACAGCACATTAAAGAGCAATCACCCATTTTTATTCCCTATTTTCTCCCCTGCAGCTTCCCGCAACGAACCTAAGTTTTAATGCACAATTCGTGCAGGCAGCTTTTTCATGTAAATTTCTCTGGTGTTATTCTTTGCCATGTAAATTTTCCTAGACCCAGGCTTTTTAATGGAAATCTCCTTAGGGTAAGTTCTCTCTCTTTTTTTTTTTTAAGACATAACTATGCTTTTTTCAAATGCACGCTTGCGAAGCACTTTCTCAGAGCAGATCCCTCAAAATAAATTTCTCTTTCTGCAGATTTTTGACGGGAAGGCACAAATGGAGTTTCCCCGGGCCACAGCAGTGCCTATTCTGGCAGATTTCTTTCAAATCCGAACATGACATGAAAATAATGATATCTTTCCAAGGAGGAAAACTGCTTTGAGTTTTGTCTTGGGTTGGATTTATGCTCAAAGGAGTTCTCTGCTCTTTGAATGCGACACTGAGTGCTGAGGACGCTGGCGAGGCAACTCCAATGTCAAAATTCTGCCCGTCCGATTCTTTGCTTTAAAAGAAAGCTTGTGCGGAAGGAACCATGTTTGTGTGTGTGTGTGTGTGTGTGTGTCCTCTAATGCACATAATAAATTATTCCAGTCAAGGTCAAACAAATTAAAAGAAGGGCAGCTATTATTAAGTTTACAAGACAGCCTCCTGATGCAAATGCCAAGCCAAACAATTAGCTTAGCGTTGTAAATTTTCCAGCAGAACAAAGATGGGATTTCCCCCCCCCCTCCGCCCCCACCCGCCCGC